GTGAGCAGAAGAGCGTCCCTTCAAAAACATTAACATAAAAAAAATATTAACCTGATGTAGCACATATTATTGTGTAGCCACATCACAAGCCATATAACTAATATACAGAGATCAAATGTATAAAATGTTTTATGTATCGATGCTTGTTTACATGTTTTTCATGATGTATTTATTGCTTTAAAGATAATCATGGGGACAGCTCTGGAGATGGCAGGAGCCTTGGTGCGTATTGTCCTTTTCAGATGATAAAATAACCATTTTAAGCTTTATCTGATCCACTTTTACTGTGACTTTCTACTTTGGGAAATGGATCCTTTACTTAAATCTTGTTCAGTTGCAGATTCCTTGGAATCAGTTTCTACAGCAAGCAGTGACTCAGTTAATAATCAGGAAACAGAGCCGACTACAGAGACAAATACAGAGACAAATACAGACGCAGACGCAGAGGATCTCAACCCAGTAATCATGATCATCATTCCCCTAGTTCTCACACTCGTCATCATCGCTGTAATCGTGTGTGTAGTCATGATCTACCGCAGGAGGAGAATAAAAGCTGCTGGTATGTTAAATGCATTCAAACTAATAGACGTACAGACTCTAAATAACCAGCCAAAAACATGGTGTTTACATATTTACATATTTATCTGAAAGACACAAATATTTACAGATGTGCATAAAACCTGAAGGTGAACGTGATAACGGTATGTTAGGAAAAAATCTGAATGGATGCACAGTAGTTTAAACCTACTGAGCAGCGTGTGTAAACTCTGGATTCGCAAAAACACACACACAAAAAAACATTTTAATTACATTTTTGCAACATAGTTTTTGTCATCCATCGCTCTGAGACTAAAAAGAGTCTTTCTTTCCTTTCTCCTTCCATTGTTTACAGTTCCTTAGAAGGCAACTCAAACTGAACGATAAATGAAGGAAAACACTGTGGGATAAGAAATGTTTATCATGTTTTCTCATCTTTTTTTTTTTTACAAAGACACAAAAGAAGATCCTTATCTGGATCATGAAGACCATGAAAAAGTGCCAATGTAGGTACACGGTTTTAAGAGCATGTTGTGTTTCTATAATCATGTATAATGAGTGATATCTGCTGGCTGCATTTCAGTAGTTTAGTTAAGATGTTTCTTAGTTCCTTTTAGCAAATATGTGGCTTACCCAGATGTGCAAAGTGTGTGTGTGTGTGCGTGAGTGTGTGTGTGTGTGTGTGTGTGTGTGTGTGTGTGTGTGTGTGTGTGTGTGTGTGCGTGAGAGTGTGCAATTTTTGGATGATCATTAATTTAAGACCATATCCTCATTATTTATTTTTAGAAATTTAGCAATTACATTTTGATAATATACATTTTTTATTTATTTAGTAAAAGATTTATTTAGTGAAAAAGTCATGCTTCAACATCCACAGAAGCCTTGTACACTATTAAATGAATAATTCATCCAGAAATTAAAATTTACTGCCCCTCAGGCCTTCCGAGATGTAGGTGAGTTTGTTTCTTCATCAGATTTAGAGAAATGTAGCATTGCATCATGAGTTTCTATAAGTCATCTTAGGTTAGACCAGACATAACTATAATAAAATACTGTTCCCATGAAATGTGACGTAATGTGTTGCTCATCCACCCTAGTGCATGTAAATTAAACTCCTTAAAGGAGAAATATAGTATTCCATCACTTGCTCATCAATGGATGCTCTGCAGTGAATGGGTGCCGTCAGAATGAGAGTCCAAACAGCTGATAAAAACATCACAATAATCCACAAGTAATCCACAGCACTCCAGTCCATCAGTTAACATCTGGAGAAGACAAAAGCTGAAACAAATCCAGCATTAAGACGATTTTAACTTTAAACCTTCGCTTCTGGATAAAATGCGAGTCCATAATCCATAATAACACTTCCTGCAGTGAAAAAGTGCATCTCCTGTTGTCT